AAAGAAATTAGAAACAACTGAATTACGTGGTAGACCAAGATATTACGAAGCTCGTATGTATGTACTACGTAATATTCAGCCAAAGTTTAGTTCTGCTATAGATAATTTATATGATACTCCTTCAGTCGAGCGTCCTGCAAAAATTCGTTCTTTAAATTACTTAACATGCTTTTAACCAGAAGAATTACAAATATCATTCAAATTGCATGTCGATGAATTGAGCCAATTACTCACTGATGAAGAGAAAATACGGATGTGTAATTTTGATGCTCATTCAAATCTTGGTACCCCGACGTTCTCATCATCATAGATATACGTATATTTGTTCAGAAGTGAATAAACTCTGTTTTTAGTTAATTAATGTAATGCAAATCACACCATTGATGTAGTTCCTTGTAGTTCTCGTTTTTTCTTTTACTTTCTTTCCATCCAGAAGTATGCATCAAAGATAGTAAGTGTCAGTATGGCATACTATGGGCTATTTAATTTCAGTCTGAATTTATCAAATAAAAATAATACTTGATTTCAAACTGAAACGTGAGTCTAGGAGTGAGGGGGGAAGTGACTGAGGGTGTGGGTGTTGGTCTGGGACCCACACACACACCCACACCCATGGTGCGGGTGTGGGCGCGCGAGTGAGGGTGCGGGTGTGGGCGCGCGAGTGAGGGTGCGGGTGTGGGCGCGCGAGTGAGGGTGCGGGTGTGGGCGCGCGAGTGAGGGTGCGGGTGTGGGCGCGCGAGTGAGGGTGAGGGTGTGCTTGTGGCTTTGTGTACTATAGGCTTTAGTCCCCTGCACAAGGGACTAAGCGGGGACTAAGCTTTTTGTGGGGGGGACTAAGGGGGACTTTGCAGGACTAGGGGGGACTAAGGGTTTTTAGTGGGACTACGTAGTATCAAACGAGAAAAGTTTGATTCGGAAGAAGTTGGTGCGGTTTTTTTGATTTTAGAATTCAGTTTGAAATAAAAAAGCCCATAGACTCCAGTATGGATAAGTGTATGTTTAAAGTGGATCAGCAATAAATGTTTTTGATTGTTCTTTAAATAATTGTTATGTTTTAATGTAAAAACTGAATGAATAAATGAGCAACAAGAATAATACAAAATGGAAAAAACCAAGGAATGTGTGATGTTTGTACTTAGCTAAACTGATACAAGCACACAGGAACATACGTATTGTGAACTCTAATCTACTATTCGATCGACTGATCGTATATTCTGGTAGAAAGTCAATAAACTTATTTGATTCTAGTTCCTGATAAAGAATTGTTTTCAGGTGAGAAAAATAGACAGTCCTGAAAAACCCATAACTTCACATAGAATTGCTTGGAGTATTGACTAGTACAAATAACGATATGAGAGAGTGAAACATATTAAATTAATAACAAATTACAATTTTAACATTACATGTTCCTCAATTACATATCATCAATGATCATGAAAAGTCATTAAATTTAGCCAGTATTATGATCCGAAATTCTTCTCGTAGGTTATGAAGAAAAAATAAGTTAGTCTGCAATGTATTCATTATCAAAAAGCATTTTTTGGTTTCATCGATCGACCTTGCAACATGGAATAAGTTTTCAATTTCGATGCATATGACTGCTTTTTTTTCCTACAACGACATGGTCAAGAGTCATGAAATTTGAGTGTGGGTATAGGCGAGTGAAGAGATGCCTAACAGCCACACGCTTCATATCAGATCTTCTGCGTTTTTATACGTTTTTTTTATGAAAAATTTATCACTATTATGAATACTATAAAAGTGGAAAAGTGATAGATTTAACATAAGAAAAAAATTTATAAACGAAAAAGTTTGATCTTCTCCTTATTTGTCACACTTAAACTAAGATAACTAACATATTGATATTCGAGATATTCATGTGTGGCTGTGGATATGAACAGTACAAAACTGAGTAGTTAGAGAAGCTCACAAAAAATGGCACTCTAATTATAGAAGTACTGTTTTACAGTATACTACAAACAATGTTTAATTCAAGAAAAGAACTAGGTTATGCGGTGCATTTTAACATGCACTTTCGAACGAAATTAAATCTGTAGAATGAAGACTCAAAATTCATGAAACAAAAAAAAACAGAAAATGACAAAAATCATCTAAACTTTTTGAGACATGATGTGCCAAATAAAGAACCATGTCGTTTATAATAAGCAACCCTCTAGGTATCTTCCCATGTATTTATATCAGTTTTCATTTTTTTAACTGAAAAAGGAAACGATAGACTAACATCAATTTGGACGTTAAAAACGAATAAATTATCACGATCTTTCTCACTAGCTTTAAGATACTGTAAATGAGATTATTACTGTTCTCATGTTGCTGACAACAATCGGGAAAAATTCAGACACAAGGCGATTTACCTGGTTGTATCATTACCAAATTAGATCAACAGGAAGTCAGGATATCAAGTCAATTTGGATAAACAAGAGTATCTGTCAACTCTTATCATTTTTTCTGCTATTTTGTACATGAATTCTTATATGATTACTAATAGAATAATAGCCAACATTAGTATATTCGATGTCATCAAAAAATTGTAATTAGAAAGTAGCATATGTTGCTTTAGTGAATTAGAACAAAGAACATTCAAATAAATAATTTTAAGTTCTTTTCTTATACTTCAAAAAAAATGCATTCTCAAATTATGACAATACGTTTTGTTGATTACTATTCGTATTTTTAGATGTTTGACATGGAATAAGTAGCAAAATGTTCATAACAATGTAGTGGCGTAGCCAGGAGTACAGCCATTGAACAACAGCCCATGCATTTTTTTTTGAAATCAGATATTTTAAAGTTAAAGTGCACATTTGTGGAACCACACAAATACTTTGCAATGATTTTGATAATTTGAGTTTTTTCTAGCATCAATAAGTTTGACTTCTAGCCTGGAAATAAAACTAAATACAATATGTATGAAACTCTTTATTTCTTCATAATCTAGGCGTAAAAATTTTTGTAGCTTATTCTTCTTCGACATTTTTTTCCATATACATGGTATTTGATTTCTTTCGAATTAATTTTTAAATTGAAAATTATCAGATTTCGTATTTATATTTTCATTCATTTGTAATTTTTCTATATTTAGATTCTTGCTCTAAGAATAGAATAGTTCAAATTCACCTAAAATTATAATTTCTGTATCTCAACATCTTTTTTTTATGATAAATAATAGTATTGATTAGTAATAGATATTTTTAAAAAATACATCAAAGAAATATGACCTGATCAAAATAGAAAATTGATGCACGGTCAGTTATGATACATTTTTGTAGTGCATTGTGTTGCTATATTAGATTGGTTGTTGTTGCTTGTGAAGCCATAAGTGATGGGCGTTACGCATGGTGCAGAACATGAATACAAAAAAAAAACATTTTCTCGACTATGATGTATCTCGATTAAATGTCTCGTCCAAATCAGAGCCCTTCATCTATCAACCACAACATAAATAATTAAGTTACATGAGTCAAAGTAATGATAAAAGTAAATCTTTTTTTTTCATAACTTATTTTTACAATATCTTTTAATTGATTAAGTCTCTTTATATACAATAAATAAATGAAAATATTATGTTAGAAAGAAAAATTTATGATTCTAAACTAAGTAGTCTTTAGTAGTCAGTTGATGTACAATACGCATATAGTATCAGTGAGAATAATCGTTAAAACAAAATTAATCAGTTCATTTATATGAGTTTTTCATTTTTTCCAAAAAGATGTTTTTTTTACAGATTGGAGTAGACTGTACAAGGCTCTAATTCAGTCTGTAAACTGGAAATTGATATAGAGAAATAGTCTAAACTTTTAGCAAATTAACTAAAAAAAAAAATCATTTTTAAAAACTTAAACATTTCTCCCTGAAAAAGTTAGCTTTCCTTTACAAAGTCAGTCGTGTCTGCAGTGATGTCGATTGACTATTCGTTATTTATCAACAAGAAAATCATTAATTTATTTTGTTTTTATTGGAACTTAGTCACAAGAACATGTCAACAGTTATTTTTTTAGAACTAATTATATAAAAAATGATATGATAGTTGATTATTTTCTTATTTTATACTATCCTTAAATATGTCAGAGTTGACATCGAAAGTGAATGTGGGCGTTGAGGAAACGAACGATAAATACCCAAACGAAAATAGTTCATTATCGGAAATTATATATGCAATATTCAATGAGTTTGTTTGCTACCCTTAAAGGAAAACTTGTGATTAGAATCATTCGTTTATGATTAATAAAGTCAAGTTTTATCATCTATCATTTTATTACAGAAAAATCAAGAATAATTAATTTTCATTCATTTAAAATCACTAATGAAGAAGGCAGGAAGATTACAATTTATAACTTGTAACAGTATTTCATACATAATTTCGAGCAAAAATAATGTCTTCAAAATACTCAAATATTTCGTTCTTCAATGACTGAAATTTATTTTATTTTTCAATAATATAATCGTCGTAAAAAAAAGCATTGTGTTATTTATGATTCTTGGTATTACTCATTCTTTGTACATATTGCTTTTTTTCCTCACTTAATAATCGAATGATTGTGCCTACATATTTTTCATGGTCAAAATAAAGTCAAGGAGGACATAACTAGATTAGTTATTGTTGATATGTTTGCTTCACCTATTGACATAGCTTCCTTTTTATCTCTCTTTGTATTGCACAAAAAGAAATGTATTTTATCTGTTTTTTTTTTCTTTCAAAAGAAATGGGTAGTAGAGTGTAGGTTTTTAGTTTTCTATGATAATTATTGACAAAAAAATATTTTCTTTTTATGTCATACGTAATTCATGCATATAAATGATGTTTGACGATCATAATACTTTCACATGATTACGTGCATCATTATCATCAAGCTATATTGAAGAAAAAATATTTCTTGAAAGAGAAACAAAAAATATATTATTTGAAAATAAACAAACTCAATTATAAAAGTAATTGATCATTATATTATTGACGAAAACAAAAATAATACAAAAAAAAAATGTCAATATTGAGCTCAACTTTATCAACTGTTAATCAATGTACATTAGAAAAAGATGTTAATTCAAAATCAACATCAAATGAACAATTGAAACCGAAAGTATGTTAAATTAAATAAGATAAATTTATTTTTGTTTCTCTCTTTTTTAAAGGGAATATTAAAAAACGCAACAAGTTCTTCGTATAACGGTTTAATTAATCAGTTATGCAATAATCTTAAACAGTGTCTACGATGGCAATTTTATCTTGAAACACGATATAAAAAAAATAATAAAGAAAAGATTAATGATTCTGTACCGGTGATTTATGATAATACGAGTCTAACTAAAACATCAAGTACTTCAACACTTGTTAAACGAGTTACATTTAAGGATATGACACACGATATTAACTGTAAGCTAAGTAAATCAACGTCTACTATAACCATATATTCACATAATCAAGAAAGAAATTCTCAAAATTTACATTTAATGAACACAACAGAAAAAAACTCTGACGAAGAGAATTGTATTCATAAAGCACAATTTCATACTACAGATTCGTCACAATTTGAAAAACCCAATTTTGTGGAATCAAGCGATGATGAACAAAGCAATTATAATTTTTATTAATATTTTAAAAAATGTAATTCTGTTATTGTATTCACCATTCAATGAAACAATTGAAAGAAGTATTTTTCAGTCTCATGATTCATTATGATTTCTTTTTCTAGAAATCATTCATCTACAAATTGTATTCTTCTTTTGTTTTCATTTAATTTATTTTTTCTGTGGTGAATTTTTTGTCTTTTTTTTTTGCTGTTCCATGCCAGATTATTAGATAATATATAAACATGATAGATTATAATCTCACATAATCCATTTCAATTCACTAAGTTTAAAAGAAAAATTTCAAAAAATGTCTATAGAAGACAATGAAAAACATTCAAACATTTGATACGGACTCTTATGCGACTAACTATAGGCGAAATAAGTTAAACAATAACAAGTGTTCAATTATTAGTCAGCTGATTTTTCCAAGTTGGACTAGATACGACAATAATATCAACAGAAAAAATTTTTCTCTGTCGAATTGTGTTTTTGGTTTTTTTTTTAAAGTGAAATGTAAATACAGAAACATCATAAACAATAACATTGTAGTGACAGCTTTTTGTGTATTTTCGTTTTTATTGATTAAAATCATGAAAAATTGCATTGAGACTAGATAAACAAAACACTTGCCTAGTTTATTTACATTAATTCGGCTCAGATATTGTTGTATATTGATTTAGAAAAAGGTATTTAAACATTTGACGTCTACCAATATGTATATTTAATATCGATCCGATGATTCATCGAGTGATGAGGTCATATTATTTATGGATGACATGCAACAACATTATTTTGAAAAATAATCGTACATACTACCCTAGTGAATATACTCATCAAGCGAGCAGTGGCGCAACCAGGAATTTTTTCCAGGGAGGGGGGAGGGCACCATCAGAGAGAAAAAGTGATTTTTTGCTTGTGAAAACGAATAAGTCTGTACCCCCTCCAGTGATTTAAATCTTCCAGGGGGGATTGATCCCCCAAACCCCCCTCTGGTTTCGTCACTGCAAGCGAGTACGACTTCCCAGCGTGAGTACTTATATTAATCGCTCGAGTACTCAGGGAATTTCATGTGTGCCTTTACTCATACAAGTTTTTCTTTAAAGATTTACTTATAGTCAGATAGATGAGTACTCAATGTAGTATTCATAATCATTTTTCGCAGAATATTTAGCAAAACACTTATGAACTAGTATATATAAATTGAACTTGAAATTATATAATAAAAGAAAGCAATGCAATGAAATATAAAATAGAAGAAAATTATTTGATACTTTATCTACTTAATCCTCTATTCTTTTTTGATGAGTCATTTATATGATTAATATTAATGATAACTTTGAGAAAGAAAAGAAAACGAGTTTTTCTTTTCATTTGTTAACTTTTCGGGTAAGGTTAAGTTCTTTTGAAATATATTAATGTAGATTTTCTTTAGTTTTATTTTCTAAATTTATATAGGATATCTTTGATTAAAATAAAGTTTTTTAGATTGATTATGAAATGCGATGAAACTAAGGACAACAAGCAACTTTCGTTATAAATCGATCGCTATTTTTAAATAAGAAGATGCGTCAATACACGACAGAATAAAAGCTTTTTAGTTTGCATTGATTTATTTTTTTTTTGTTAACAGTTATCAATTTAAGAATGTGTGTATTTAATGTTTAGCGTGTTAAGCCATAATATATGTTTATTTTCTATCACATTTTTAATTGTCACTAAATAATTTATTATTTTTTCTGCTTGATTGCTTTTTTTTACTGTTCTCAATTCATGTTTTATTATACTCTCATTCTTGTCGATCTAGACAAAGAAATCTTCATTATTACAGAAGAATATTAGATATTTTCTTTGTTTTTTGCTCTATAACGAAAATACGATTTTATTGACATTTGATAAAAAAAAGCATATAAAATCGTGTTTTTATTGTATCAAAATAGAAAAAATATTTAACTTTCTTTGCTAATGATGAAAATTTCTATGTCCGTATTCTTTGTATTAAAATCTATGAAAATGATGTCACACTTGTATTTCTTATATTGATTATTTTTCTCAAACGTCTATTGCGTGTGCCTGTGTGTTTTGTTATAAATTTGATATTAAGTAAAAATTAATCTAGTACAACGGTACTAACCAAAAACTACGCTTATCAGTGTTTTTTGCGTAGACCAGCAGAGTACACTAAATTAGGTAGCAGTACTACCAAAACACTCAATATTACACGGCTAGTACTCAATCGTCGTACTGAAATACTCAGATTCTAGTGCGAGTATGACTGATGAGTACTCAAAATCCATGAGTACTACCCTCTGAGTACTTTGACTAGGGGTAGGCTTTCCGATTTGTAGATCAAACAACAGAATAGCATTACCTTTTTTGATAAGTTATGTAATTTCATTTGGATAAAACGATTCGAAAATTTCTATTGTATCTCTCTTATACACTCACTTCATAGCAAAGTATTGACATTTCGATAATCATGTTAGAATATTTTCAAGTTTTTCTCGATTTCTCTTTCTTTTTCAGTTAATGTTCACCTTTTGTTTTCTTTATTAATACTTATTTTCTGATTGTCAACATCTATGAGGTGAATCAGCCACACAATAAAACTCCACTTTTAAAAAACATATAATCCACTAGATTATTTCTATCAGGAAAGATTGAGTCAAAAATTTATAGAAAAAAAAAACATCATAAATTACATATGTAAAGATATTGTTCTCAATCTTAATTATTTTCAGAAGAAAACAATCTAAGTTATAATACATTTACTATGTGCTCCTGCCTTTGCTCTTTGTGACTAATGGTTGTTCACTTGTTTGAAACGTAACCTTGATATATATCCATCAACGAAAGCTTAGGTAAAGCAATAACCAAGAAGCTTAATGCGACACCTATTCACGAATACCAAAAGACTTTTTAGAAATGTATTCATAGGATGAAACTTTGTATCGAACATCATGAGGACTACTTCAATGATTTACTGTAAGCAAACGAGCAAAATGTTTTCTTTTTTTATAGATAAATACTAGAAAGTAACAGAGTTTTCGGATTATCTTATGTAATTTGTTTTTTAAACTGAACTTTCTATCATTGAAAAAACATTCATTCAATAAATTTTTATTTTTTATTATCAAACATTCGAGTAGATCTAACAAGGAAAGATTCCTAGGGGTGTCCTGTGGATTTTAATGAAGCCTAGGTGAATTTGTTAAGTGAAGTGTATCTATGTCAGGTATGAAACAATTAGCGGCTACCGCTATCTCGATAAAAAATTATAGTTGAAAGATTTTCCAAAAAAGTTGACATATATACTCTGCCATACAGATTCTTTTTCTTAAAGTGTTTTCTTAAGGATGTTTTTCTTTTTTAGTCACGATGGTTAAAGGCGAGTTGCATACTATTTTATAGAGTACGAATAGCTCTACAAAATAGCTTATCTTGTTTGTTTCGCTGCAAATGCAAGGAAAGAAAAGATCATGCGACTGTTTGAAGTATACCCAGAAGTATATGGGTTTATTTTCTCGAAACAACAGATGCCACATAATTAATGGTCGCATTTTATGTTTTATTTTCCCATCAACTAATACATTTAATTTAAAAACAAAATATACCAAAAGATATATCATAAAAATCTCTATAATTTACATAAGACTATCTTTTTGTATAGTTGCATTTTTTGTTTTGAAAATGGACAAAACAATAAGTCATCAAGTTTCGAGAAAATAAAGCCATACTTCTGGGTATACCTGAAATAGTTGCATGATCTTTTCTTCTCTTGCATTTGTAGCAAAACAAACGAGATAAGCTATTTTGTAGATCTACTCGCCTTTAACCATCATGACTGAAAAATAAAAATATTCTTAAGAAAAAACCCTTAAGAAAAAAAAATGTATAGCGAAGTATATATCTCAATTTTTTCGAAAAAATGTTTCAGCTATAATTTTTTACCGATTCAGTCGTAGTCGCTAATTGTTTCATACCTGAGCTAGACTATATAAGTTTCATGAAAATTCATGGAACATATAAAGGGACATTTTCTTGTTAGAGAATAAATTATTGTTTTGTTAACAGAGATAATTTTGAGAAAAAACTTCCATTATCAATAGTGTTCATCTAATAAAAATAAATGAACTAATGAAAATAATCTCTATAAATGATCTTTTATATTTCTAATATTGTTCACGTTTGATATATAGTTAGAGAGGGAATGTCATTATTAATTATATTGGTTTCCTCTTTTGATCGAACTATAGAAACGATAAAGATAATAAACGATCTATATTGCTACTTATTATTAAGAGAAAAAAAATTCATTTCATATCAAAATTGTTTTATTATTATATAAATTAATAGCTAAATCTATACTAAATGAAGATATAAATAATTGTTATTTTAATGTATTTTATTCAAATGGAAATTCATATAAGTGTTTAGATGAAGGTTGTTATCAACATAGGGATGTAATATCATTATAAGATCAACAATATTAAACTAATTATTTATCATTAAAATTTTCATCTTATTCAACATATAAAAATCTTCTTGGGATCAACTTAATCAATTAAATTTATTATCTTATTCTATATCATCTATAGATACATATGAACTTATGTTTATTAGTGATGAACAAAATATAATTGATACATTAAGATTAATATTTAACTGTACTCAATATGATAGAATTGAATGAGAATTAGTTAAAAGTATTGAGAATCTTCCACAATCTCCATGTTCTCAACAAATTCAATTTATTACCAATCATTCTATTAACAATAATCAATATTATTCTCATTTAATTATTTTAGTAGGTTCAAATATTTTCTTATTAAATAAGAAAAAAATTCTTGTTTTTACATTCCGCTTATAACATATCTGTCTATAATAATAATTGGTTTTTATAATGATTGTTTTATTTAATAATAATTATTATTTAAATCATAGATTCAATCAAATATCCAAATCACATACTCAAACAGAATTAAGAACTATTATTTAGTCGTTTCAATTTAAAATTTTTTTTT